CACGACAACTCTCCCAGTACAAGTATATAGTATTGAACGAACTACCGCAATTACAACCACGCAAAGTAAGTGAATAATAACATAATTTAAATAACTGAACGGACGAAAAACAATGAAAATGTTTTCAGTTAAAACATCATCAAACAGCAATCTCGTTTGTATCGTTAGAAGCCGAGATATACTAGATATTATTATTATTTTTTCTGTCCTAACAGCCAAACACTGAAACAACTGCAGAGGCTACTATCGCAACAAAATATTCCCTTGAGTTGAAATCATTATCTATTTATAAAATGGATGTGATATTCGCTAATAATTTGTATGTAAACCTAAAAATAAATTGATTTTAGCACGCATGACATTTGAGACCATTTTCACGTACAGAAAGTGAATAATTTCACAAAGCCGCTGTTAGACGAGCGATTTTCCGCTTGCGCTGGCGATGCAATTTTCTCAAAATCACCAGCGCACGATTAGGCTTCACAAGCGACAATGCTGTATCAATAAAAAAATTATGACAAATACTTATTGGAATCTCCATAACGAGGTATATGTACAAATACAGCTCAAATTCTATGTTAGCTTTCAACGTACCCAAAAATCGCGTCGCCTACGCAAGCGAAAAATCGCTCGTGTAGGCGCGGCTTAAGTCACTCGGCAATTGGAACATTGGAAATATCAACATTTAAGATCGGCAGTTTGTGCATAACTTTGGCATGTTTCTGATTTTAGCAAACTGTTCGTGTTACACGTTTCATGATACGAACAGAAACCGCTGGGCAGAAAGCAACCAAGACTGTAAAATAAGAAATGGGACATTGGTATCCATGGAAACAGAAAATGAATGGAATTTTATTACGAGTGAGATACAGAAAATAAATTCTACAGCAAATAGACACAACCAATGGCTTATAGGATTAACCATTAAAAGGGAAAAAGTGGAAGAGTACCAGAAAGTAGAGGACAAACGCAAAGCAGGTTGGACATGGGCAAGTGGACAAAAACTGACGATTTTCAGCAAATGGCAGCCTAAAGAGCCAAATAATAAGGGCAATTATGATCAATATTGTGTTGCAATAGCTAAAAATCATCCAAAGGGCAATTATGGACTTATCAAAGACGTGAATTGTTTTTCTACATTTCCCTACATTTGCGAATACGATTCAGGTACGAATTGAGGAATACATATTGTAAATATAACATGAAATGTAAATTCAGCTGAGTACTCCAATTCCCATCTTCCCAATATACTAGAATATTGTAAATTATGCTTTGATTATTATAAATCTTGTCATTAATCAGGGACCAAAGTCAAATCAAGACTCAATCCAGTTTGTTGGAGTAATTCATCAAGCAAGATTCGTTTGACATCTTGCTTTCAAGTCATCCCGCCCACAACTGGTAAGATTCTGGCCGAAACAACTCGCCCAATACAGACAACACAACTAAATAACATGCAACCAACAACAACGGTTATCACAACCACAACAAGTAAAATAGATGTCACGACAACTCTCCCAGTACAAGTATATAGTATTGAACGAACTACCGCAATTACAACCACGCAAAGTAAGTGAATAATAACATAATTTTTAAATTTTTAAATTTTTAAAAATAACTGAAAGGACGAAAAACAATGAAAATGTTTTCAGTTAAAACATCAAACAGCAATCT